ATTTTAAAGGAGAGCTCTGAAACAGGGTTTCTATTGCAATCATATGGAAGAAGTGATTAGATTTCTTGAGACTCGTCATGAGGTAACATAATATCTGTTTCAATTGTGAGGTCCTAATGTCTGCCTATTCCATTCACCCTAAAACAAAAACAATGAAATGTTATAAGAGATTTTTGGATTTTACACTTCTTGCCATGAAATAAACCAAGCTGGTCTTTTTTTTTTTTTTTTTTGGGGTGTGGTTATGGTTTCGCAAATCATTAGTTGGGAGACCAGTGATAGGGCTTTTAAGAGGTTTTCACAAAATCTTTCAATTTAAAATTTTAGGAATGAAGCAATTTATTATTTATTATTGCTAGGAGACTTATCATGTATCATATAACATGCATGTTGTTTGTTGCCTGGAATAGAAAGGATGAAAAGAAAAATAATTCCTTTTTTCTTTTTTTTTTTACTGAAAGGAAAAATAATTCTTTGGATGACATATTCTTTCTACCTTGGATAATGTGCAATAAAATATTACCCAAAATAACATGAGTAATAAAAGGTACAGTTACTGATAAGTAATAGTAACATTACTTTAATAAACATTTCCTCTCATAATGCAAAGAAATGGCCTTTTATATGTGTCACACCGCAATCCCCAACTTTTGGATACTTCATCCTTTAGTAATTTGAATTTCAATCCAATATGTTGAACTTTTATTGATTTTGTTAATGCACAAAGGGTCCAAGAGGAGTGAATTGTTGAGATAGAAACTTTTGCTTCACGCAATAAATATAACATGGGAAAATCAATTTCTTAAAATGAAGTGTGAATGTTGAAATCAAGATTTATGCATTGAATTAATGAAAATTGATTGCAATGACTATTTTAATAAATTGAACTACACGATAATTACTTTGATGATTTTGCATTGCATTCTTACCTGTAGTAAAATTTTCAACTTCAAGGTAATTTATAATATTCCTTGTGATTTTCAACTTGCAACAAGGTCAAAAGTATATTTCATGCATTTAAAACTTTGGAGTGCTTAATAGTTTTGGCCTAAATTTTGTTCATGACAAATTTTCAAATGGAACTTCTTGATAAACCCTCCAAAGGAAAAAGAATTTCCAGTAATAGAAGCAATGTTGCAGAATGATCCAGGACCTAATTCAACTTTTGGCAGCATTTATTACATGCAAAATCATTTTAGTCTCGACTTCTGCAGCATTCATGTCTAGAAGGAGTTTGGTCTAGTCTTCTTTTGTAAACTCCGTTTCACATTTTGCTTCACTTCAGTGCCTAAACTTTTCTATGATGCATTCAGGGAAAGTACAAAGTATACAATCTTTGCTCGGAGAGGTTGTATGATGCATCACTATTCAAGGGGAAGGTATGGTTCCATCTTTATTTCAAGTTTAGCACTTTAATTGATATCTTGGCATAGGTGACAACCTATCCATAGGATTTGGATGATAGTGAGAGATTTCTAAGACCTATCATTTGCACTTTTTTTTTACTGCATAAAGCATGTATTCTTCCTTTGATTCAATATCTAGTTGCTTGTTTTATCTGACTTAGTCTTATATCAAATTACTTTTATGACTTTAATGTAAAATGCAGAGAAGTGCTACTTTGTGTTTTCTTTCTTTGTTTCTGTTTATTTATTTCAGAATAAAGATCAAAAATTCCAAATTCAAAGTTGAGTACATGTTCAGGTTTCAGTCATGATACCAGTATACTAGTATTTACTATTTAATTATGCACAATTTTGCTAATAAAAATGCTAGGCATTGGCATCCCATCTTTTCATTTTTTTTTTCCTGTGAATTTCTATGCCTCTGGAAACATTCTGGGCAACATCCGATAAGAAAAGGTCAGATATGTAGACAATATTTTTAATACTTATAATTGAACCATCAATGGTTGTCATTGAAGTACAATGCTATGATCCATGCTTGCTCCATTAATCTCTTGTCTTTGTTTTCAGGCTGCAAGTTTCCCGTTTGATGATCATAATTGCCCTCCTATTGAACTTATAGCATCATTTTGTAGAAGTGCATATTCATGGTTAAAGGAGGATATTCAAAATGTGGTGGTTGTTCATTGTAAAGCTGGTATGGGGAGGACGGGGGTGATGATCTGTAGCCTTCTTTTGTTTCTTAAGGCAAGTTATATGCATCAAAAGATTAGGAGTCTTTGTTATTGGGTACATTTTTTGTTTTTGTGCATCACTGTATTGCGCTTATTGATTGTCAATAACTTCAGCGATAATTTGCCAGTTCTTCCCAACTGCTGAGGAGGCCATTAATTGCTTTAACCAGAAAAGATGCATCGATGGGAAAGCTCTTGTTCTGCCTAGTCAGATTGTCTGTTTTTCCCCTAAAAAATTTTGTTGTTTAAGACGTATCTTCTAGACTTGTTTTTTGGCCTGGAATTAAATGTTTCTGTGGTTTTTCTAGAGGTATGTCAAATACTTTGAAAGGACTTTAACAAACTTCAAAGGAGAAGTTCAGCGTGGACGAAGGTAAGTGTACCTTTTTTTCACAATGCACCAAAATCAGAAAAAGATTTCTGGTTTTTTATCTTGGAATTTTACAGGTGCATGTTAAGAGGATTTCGGCTTCACAAATGCCCTTACTGGATTAGGCCTTCCATTACGATTTCTGATCATAGTGGTGAGTAGTTGCACCCATAACATTCTTTTCATGTGATTCTGTCATACCCTGAAGCTATAATTGGAAGATCAGTCTATGGAAACCTATATTTTCATGAAATGGCTTTTGTTGATCAAGTGAAATATTTAGGCTGGATTCTAATGCATGATCTGTCCACCGGGCCAATGAAGCTTTAATTCAAAGTTTAGTATGAAGAGAAAAGTGCAATTGTATCCACACACACACACACGCACACACTAAAATTGACTCTATGATTCTCCCAAGAGTGTACTTGATAAAGTTTCAAATGGAAAACTGGGCTGAAAATGGGATTAAAGCTAAAGAAAAACTCAAACTACTCATTTTCTATACTCTTTTTCGTCTGTACACTGTTTAACCTGATAATTTTCAACACCTGTTTGAAGTCTGGTTTATATACTTTATATTCATTTTTGTCTCAAGGGGCAAGTTGAACCGATTGGGATTTTTTCCCCCTCCTTTGATGTAATTAAATGTGCGATAGGAATTCCCAGTATGATATTATTATGTGCTTAAAGCTTGGGCAAGTAACTTGTGAATTTAAAAAGCGTCCAGTCCATGTTAATGTATTGTGTCACATGAAAACAAGGGTAGGTTTATACAAGGAATTCGAGCATGGGTACTTAGGGAATTTGACTCAGTTTATGGGGTAACGAATCGATAACTCCATTGGATGTAATGGCGTAAATGAATTGAGGAGAATTTGGTTGTTTTTCTTTCTCAAGGTTGTTCTATGTTAATGCAACTGCTATGCATTCCTATATCTGCGGAGTAAGTTTGTGCTCTTGATGAAATATCATGTGTCAAGTTGCTATAACCCCAAGGTCTTGGCCTCAAGGGTCTGATGCCTTCACTGATCTCAGGAATTCTTTTCTCCACAAAAAAGCATCCGAAAACAAAGGATCTCATGGTAAGCATATTTTTTTGGATTACAGGTTTTGACAGATAAACCCACCCCAAAAAAAGAAAAAAATAATGAATAAATTGAAGTATTATGCGAGTATTTGATTCTTGAATTGTTCCTTAAAATCATCTGTAGCCGGAGGTTTTTTGGATCAGTGCTCCGAAGAAAGGAATTGTGGTGTTTGCATTACCTGGGGAGCCTGGTCTAACGGGGTTGGCTGGAGACTTCAAAGTTTATTTTCATGATGGACAGGGAGATTTCTACTGGTTTGTATAGTGCACCTACTTCCCTTTGCCCTCAACTATTTAAAGCTTCTGCCTCTGAATTATTTATGAACGAGTGTTATTTCTCTCTTTCAAGCCGGATATGGAAATAACTTTTTTTAAATCCATATAATGGCAGTTTTCTTAACGTCTCTCTCTGGTTTTTTTTTTCGGACAGTTGGTTGAGTACAACAATGACAGAAAACAGAAAAATTTTAGACACCTCGGATCTTGATGGTTTTGACAAGGTATAACACAATTTTCTTTCACAATCATGTCCTCACGCAATTAGTAACGCTTGCTATCTCATGCCCCATTTTACATCTGTTGGTTATTTCTTTGCTCGGCAATTAATTATTTAACCCAAATAAACTGTTACTTTGGCATTCAGAGAAAGATCCCGGCTCCAGGATTTCAGGTCGAAGTAGTGATGGCAGACTATAACGTTGCTCCCTCCAGCAAAGGATCTCTTGGTAACACGGGTGATGTGGCTTCTGATTCAAGAAACAGTAAGGCTCCCACAATGGAGATGATGATGTGTTCTCAGATAGTGAAGGAGAGGAAACCCAAAATTCAGCGGCCAGGGAATCTAAAGCTGCGGGGGAAAGTCATCAAGGCTCCGATGCCAGTAGAGACCATGTCGGAGCCATGACCTCTGACACAAAGCAGCTGTCACTTCAGCATCAGGAACGTGCACAAAATAATGCATCTGTAGAAGGATCAAATAGTCCCAAAACTCAGAAAACTCCCAGGACACCTCGAAGGGATGACACCGGGGCAAATGAGATCAAGGCCATGGCAGCCGATGTTTCAGTTTTCTCTTTCGGAGATGAAGAAGACTTTGAAAGTGATTGAGAGGGCGGGTGAGAATTCTCGTTCGAAATTACTCAGGAATTCGCATATAGCTTCGCTGTCAAGACAATTTTACTTGGAAAAGGCATTGGACGTTACAATATTCATTCCATTTTCCTTGTGATTGTTGACCGACTTTTGTGCCATTACATAATTCACGCATACTTTTCGGGTTACGTGTTAATTTCCATGTGAGCTATATTACTTGTCATCTCCAAGGTGCTCGAGATATTTCAACTGCTTACAGTGGAGCTAAAAGGCGACAGATACAAGAGATGGGAGTGATGCCTTGCTCTCGATACAGTCGAATACACAGTCTCTCCTTTCATTTAAATGTGCTAAAAGCCACAAATCAAGGTGGCAATTAAAATGGGTTACAAGCGACCACCACATGAATGATACAAAACCTTGGTCCCAAAATTTCATGGGCAGAACCCGCACGATTTCAGAATCCCTCATTTGGTGAGTCTTGTGATCTCATAATACCTCGTAAACATCAGAGCATCTTTCAACTAATTTTGAGCAAACAAAAGTTCATTTCATGGCCGTATCATTTCCCTAATTTCTTGTTCAAGGAGTACACCATTTTATTCAGTATGGAGATTTCATATTCCTTTTGTTTCAACTGTTGCTTCAGCGATTCAATCTCCAAATCACTTTCTTTCAGTCGCTGATTTAATGCTTCAATCTCATTCAAGTGGGTCTCGCACTTGTTAGAGATGGTCGGGGTATTCCCTTCAATTTCAGGGTCCATCTTTGCTTTCTTTGACGCTTTCCCTTCAATTTCTGCCGCTTCTAGATCTCTCTTAGAGTCACTGGGGCCATCCGGTGCCATTTTCCGAACATAAATACTGGCTTTCTTGCCTGTATTGAGCTGGAATTCGACAAGTTTCTGTGGACGTCGATCTGAATCCTGTCAACAAATAATTAGTACCAAAAAGATCAGCCCAAGAAGATGTTGCATTAGCACAGCGTCCATGACAAGCAAGCAGTAACCGCAATGTCAATTCACTGAGTTTCTTATCCATGCAAATACGATATTTTCTATAAACAAGCATTAAAATATTTATAAAAACTAAGGAAATAAATAAATAAATAAATCAGATTTTGGGACATAAAAAAGACGTCCAACAAATGCATTGATGCGTTGAAATGCACACCACGTTTGAGCATTGCCTTCGCCAACAAGAAGCAAGTACTTGGCGAATAGAACTGTGTACCTGTTCTTGGTGGCCCTGGAGACTTTCAAAGGCCTTATTGGCCTCTTGTGGATTTTTGAAGATGGCATAGGCAGAATATATTGCCCCTTTACGTGGCTGCAGCAGAATTCAAAAGGCAACAATAATTCAAAAGGTTGATAAAAAAGTACCATACTATATTTGATCCAAATGCTGCCAAATAAAAAACATTTTTATTCTGATAATTATTAGTCAAGCTCTTCCATCAAAAAGTAGATATTTAGAGGACATAATCTACCCCCAGCTGTAAATTGAAATCTCCAGGAACAACTTTACGCAGCTCTTCAGTAGTAACCCGACATGATATCTTGTGAAGAAGAAGCTTAGCCATATCACTTTCAACAACCTGAAAAAAATGTAAGATAATAGTAACTACAAGTTACAACCAACCATAAGATCAACATAGCAATGCTATGCGCCAAGACTTACAAGCGGTTGAGGCAAGGGAATTGCATAATCAACACCATGCTCTATCTTAGCAAGAACAAGTTTCATTGCTGCCGTTGCGTCATCACGACAATTATGTGGAGCACCTGCTTCCCGAACTTCATAACCTAGCACAGCCTGTCAAACACAATTGGCGACTAAAAGTGAATCTAACAGCATCCATGTTTGCTGGAAATTTTCAAAATCACATAAGTGTTACCAAAAATAGATGATGAATGTACCATGGGGAATCCCTCCTAAGACTATAACTATCAAGTCATAATACTGCTTCATAAACTATATCCCTGGCAGAAATATATACTTGATACTTGCCTTACATAAAGTATTCAAAGAAGGTCTCTTGTGAGTATTATCATCGGGGTATTGGAAGATATATGAGGTGTCAATCACCCTAACATAATCTAGCTTCAGAGCTGCAACCAAAAAAATTGGTCAATAACTTGTAAGCAAGGAGAAGAATTTCACAGAAGTAATCCCCCCTTCGCATACACCAAACTTGGGTAGATTCAGAGACAGCCAAATGAAAATAAATATCGTGATGCTTACCACGCAGATCATTATGCAAACTATGTCCCACTAAAATTGTTCCATCCACTAACATCTTTCTCAAGAATTTCTGTTTAGAAAGAACATATACTCTCAATTAAGCACTTGAAAGTATAATAAAAGTGACCCAGAAAGTGAACATCATCTTACCTGTATCTTAGACAATGAGCACGTGACACCTTCGAGATCTTTAGGAGAGACACCAGTAATCTCCGTTCTGTAGTCAGCAATTGCTTTGTTTGGGTGAACACGCTTGTTTAGTTTAACCTAAAGAGCCAATAGCTAAAGTTACTAAATAGTTCAGCCAGTTAAGCTCCAAAAATGAAATACTAATTCAAAAGTACAACATTGGAGTATTGGACAAGCATAAAACCTGCCAACCATGTTTCCATGCTAGAGGGGAGAGTAAGAGTAGGGGCAGGCATAAAATACCTTCAAATTGCGGTCAACCACACAGACACTTACTACTGCTTCAGTTCCATCGTCACAGAGAACCATTTCACAATCAATAGCAATCATCTTGGTAAATTTCAGCACCCTGTTTTTTTTACTAAGGTTTATAACAACCCAGTCCTTAATTTAAAAAAGAAAAAGGACAAACAAATTGATTAGTAATTGCCTCATTTAAGTAGAATTCACAGGAGCAATATGTTTAAACCCAATGCAAATAGATTGTTATAAAGTAAGGATACAGTAAACATCAATTTGAAGTCATACAAAAATCAAGAACAATTTATCCACAAGACAATCCAATTTCTCGCTGATCAGATAGTAAAACAGAATAATTCAAAAAGAACTGAGAGCCAGATCTCTCTGATGTTCTACTAAAAACAATGGAAGGTGGTCGTGAAGTGGCATTGCTATCTGATGAGAGCATATTGAATTGTTCAAGACATTTTATCGGGCATATCCCTACGTTTTCTTCTTATCCATGAGCAACCATTCATTCATCTCATTAACAAAACCTTAATAGTAAATATTAAAATAATCACAGAGGATGTAAAGAGATTAAAAAGGATTATATTAATTATTAGAAAATTAGAAATAATAGATAATATAAAAATAATTTTAAATAATATTAGGAGGATTTTAACTAAGATTATAAACTTAATATTTCTCCTCATCTCCTCCCATCTGCTTTGTGCTAGCTGCTGCCTACTAGTCTGGTCATGGGTCAATTAGGCATGTGAACAAGCATTTATCAAACAATAAAATCACAAGCAGTAAAATATCAACCTCGCAACCAGCAGCACCATATTCAACATCCAAATCTTATTATATTAAGATCCACGCTGAATATATCACCTATAGGTTTAAGTTTAAACATACACATATTTAAAGATAATTTTAAATACCAACCAATTTCACATCTAAGCAATGCAAATATTTAACAAGGGTCAAGGGCTAATCAGCACTTCAAATGTAAATAAGTTGAGCAAAAGATTTAAGCATAGATAATTGCATCAAACCTCATCAACTTCTCCAAATGCATAATCCAATGGATACAATGGGTGCTGCAAAGTGTTTTGGACAAGCCTCTGCACTGTCAATACAATAAGTTAAGAATTGTAGAGAATCATCAAGAAACAGAGGCATTGATGTTACGACCACTAAAACTGTATAGATCCAAATCTCCCACTTAAAAGTTGTTCAAAGACATTATACCCATATTCAAAGATTGGCATATATATTACATACAAACTTGTACTTTCTGCCATTATTCACTTCAAGCACCAAACAAAACAAAATAATTAATAGAACAGCAACATAACTAGTTGAAGTTATATAAAAAATACTTTTGCTGAATCTTAGAAAATTTGCATTATTGGTTACAGTCACTTCCATGTTAAGTACTTCTAAAATTGGGTTTATTGCAGTGTTGAGACATGCTTAACATAGGAATCAACCTCCACAACATATGAGGATTTAGATGTTATAAATCCAGAAAGAAATGGTTCATAAACCTATAATTAGAATAAAAATAAAAAGAGTAACCGCTAATATGAAATTCTATACAAAGCCACTTAATAAAGCACCGATGACATGTTGACAGAATCTAGAATGCATGTGGCAAGTTTGACCTTTGGAAATGGATATTAAGTCCTTGATTGAAATATCATACAAGAGAACTTATCACTAATAAGAAAACCCCATATTTAATAACCTAAAACCAATCTTATCATGTCAAAGAGAGCATCAATAGCAGTACAATTTGCAAAAGAAAGTTCAACAAATAGTGTGATCTTGGACATAACAATCACTACAAAACATACCTGCTCAGGGATGCCATCAGATTTTCCTTTGTATAGCTTAAATAAGTCTTGATTAGAATGGCGTCGGATGATGGCATCAAAAATCTGAGTGCAGGGAAATGTGTAAAGTTAGTCTAAAAGCAACCAAACAACACCCCCCCCAAAAAAAAAAAACAAAACAAAACAAAACAAAAGCAAAGAAAAGAAAAGAAATCACACACACACAGAGGGAACAAATGAGAGAGACTATCACTTATTAATGGCATTTAGCTTGAATGTTTTTCACCTTTAAATCGCTCTGCTTTGTAAACGTCTTTAGAAATGCAACCAATGTCTCACGGGACCTCCTTGCTGGGTCACGCAGACAGGACCCAAACTTTTTATCATGACTGAGTAAGAAGTTATGCCAGTTTCCCAGCTTACCCTCCATTCCTTTTTTTTGTACCAATTTTACAATATCAACCAGCACCTGCCCACATAGATGAAATGATTATTAAATATTTGTATAATAACAAAAGGACAGCCCTAAGCCAATAACTGGGAATAATGATATTGTAATCATTTTCTATATAATTGTCCCTTATTGTTTCGTCAGAAATGATACAAGCTAAAATAGCAGATGTATACTTGTCAAAGGCCCAGAATGCATCAGAAGCGATCTACGGTACTGAGTAACTGACTACATGCTTGATCATCATCACCCAAACAAAGAACGCAGCAAACGAATTTAACCTAAAATTTAGCAAAATTTTAGGGCAGAAGTGGTGTAAGCAAACAAGAACAGAACTGACCTTAGTGTCTGCAATGTCTATCTGCTCCTTCATTGTAGATTCTTCAAAATTCGGAGGCCAGATAGATGGATACCTTGAACATTCATATAAACGAGCGAGCTACAATAAACAAAATAATCCAGCCAACCACAATAAAATTTATATAGATCAACAAGCTCAATACATAACAAAAGAGAAAATCTTCAAAATTCTTAATATAAAATCCTGAACATGCATCAACAATATGAATCACAATGAAAAGCAAGCACTACATCTTTCGAAACCAGATTGAACACTAAACTTAGCATCACAGTAAGTAACATTACCCCGGTACAGTCACAGCTATTTCAGAGAAGATCGACGAAACCAACAGTAAAGCAGAGACGAAAAAGAGAATTAACACATCATCAAACCAGCATCAAGTTACTTAGCTACGCATAAGACCAACGAATTCAACGATGAAGCAGAGAAGACCAATAAGCGGGGAGAAAAAGATGAGGTCGGAGCTAGCCGGGGAGCTCCGAGCAGAGAAGATAGAACCAAAAATGAAAAAAAAAAAAAAAAACACACACACACACACAGCGCTAGCACCTAGCAAGCAGACCTGGACGCCGGCGACAAGCAGAACGAAGGGAGAGCGAGAAGAGAGGAAGGACACAGCAATGCCGAAGGAACAAAGCGACGGAAAACAGCACGCGGACGGAGGAAGCTAGAGCATGTCAGGCGCGAGGGGGAACGCCGAGACTGGATTAGGGTTCGATGTCTGCAAGGAAGGAGGGGAGGGCCCGCAAAACAGCAAATATCACGAATATGAAATTAATTATTAATTAGTTAATTAATTTAAAAATAAGGTTTATTAACAATTTAGTAAGAAAAATGATAATTATTTTTTATTAAATTGTCAATAAAACTTATAATATTTAAATATATTGTATAGTATTTATGTATAATTTTTTTTTTTTGGAGGATGAACTGAGGGGGAATTCATTCAAAAACAATTTATCAATTAATGTTTAGATATTTCTGAAAAAATTATAATTTTTAATTTATAATCAATAATTTTAATATGTAATAAAAATATTTGAATATATTTTTACCAAAAAAATATTTGAATATATTTTTATAAAATATTGACTTTAAACTTTAAAATTAAACAGGCACTATATGGGAGTCGGGGGCATTGTCGCAACTCTTATGAGCAATAAAAGCGTTGCAAAGCGGAGGAACAAAAAATGGAGGCGACGCTTGCACGTCCGCACATCGATTTCCTTATTATAACTTTATAATAGTCCTTATACCACAACATTAGTCTTTATCTCCAATTACTTGTGATAATAATTAGTCCGAGTGATTATAGTTTTTAATAATTAAATATAATATATTTTTAAAATAAAAAACAACTTTAAAATATTTTTTTCAAAAACAAAAAAACGAGGACAATTTTAAAAATAATTGAATTCAAAACACTTATTCAACTGAGTTTTTCAATTTTTTTTTTTTTAAAAAATTATTTTTCATAACAGAAAACAAACAAGCACTAAGTAAATACTTTGCAAGTCAATCCGCGTAGATATTTCCCTCTTTTGACAGATGAGTAGCCTAGACATACCTATCACTCGTGATGAGGCCATAAATAATACTTAGTTGGCCTGGAGAAGATTCACCTATATCCAACATCCCTTGCAAGTCTTGGACAATAGCAGCAGAATCACTTTCAATGGTTAGTTTGGCGATGTGCAAGTCTTGTACAAATTTCACCCCATAGAAAAATGCGCCATAGTTCAGCTTCAATTGAGGTATAGCGCCCAAAGATTACACAAAAATCCTATTGCTTTATCATTCTACTAAAACAGCATTTCATTTGAAGTAGCATTTTTATTTATTTTCAATGCATTGCCAAAAACAGGGAAAGAAAAGGAAAGACACCGGCGAAGAAAGCTGGTGTTCATCAGAAACTGAAGATTACTACATGCTTAAAAAAAAATTGCAGCAACAATATTATCCTTATTGGAACTCTTTAACCTATGCTTAGTCTTGTTGAAATAACAAATGAGGATTTGTTTCCCCTACAATTTGTCGTGCTCTAGGATTTTGTTATGGGTCATACTCAACCAGCACGCCTGCTTCGTACTATATGATTTCAGAAAAGCAGCCCTGAATCTGCATTTGGGAGTTGACGATTCCAATATTCTCCCCATCGCGCATCAAAAAACATGTTCTCTAGATATTAATCTATTAACAACTATAAAGATCACTGGTCTCTTAGCAAATTGGAGTCTGTATATAATGCTTGACAGGTCTGTTAATTGATGGTGGTATTTCCATGTTCTTTCAGGGGGTAAAATTTCCTTTGATTCGACTTGTATATACAAGCTTCCACTTGGAAGCATGTTCACGTTACTTTGACAAAGAGCATTCTATGACGAATGACAAGTAAAGGAAATACAATGGACTTGAAATTCATGTATTCATAATACTGACAGTAAATTAATCCTGCTCAAGCAGTCCACTGTGCAACTTTAATCCAAAGAGTAAAGTCAAGTCAGTAAACCAAAAACTGATACTAACATTAAAAACAACGAATTGAAAGAACCACTCAATAATGAAGTGAATCGACAAATTCAATTCTGTTACGGAGGAATTGCTATTAGCGATTCTCTAGTTTTTTTTCTTTTGTTTTTTTTTTTTTGGGGGGGGGGGGATGGAATTCAGCGATCAAACTGCAAGGAATTGGGCAATTGGCAATTGAACACAAGAACACATCACATCCTACGCATGGCCTTCTCTCAAAGATCATGAGAAGTCATCGTTGACGATATTATCACTTGTTGACCATCTTCTGAAGGGACAAGGCACAATATTTCTACCAATCAGAAATCCAAATTTGGTTCTTAACATAGTCAAGCGGTTGTTATTAGTATTACTACTTGAAGCAGCCTCAGCAACTGGCGCTTGGCCAGCTGTGTGTGTAGTAAACCCTACCGTACTGTCCTGAGCTCCATTATCACTGCCACTGCCATCCACAGCCTCAACCTCGCTATCTTCAAAACTAAACGCCAAAGAAACCCTCCTTCGACGCAGCCACTCTACAACTTCACCAGTAACTTTCCTGCACTTCTTTACCTTTATTTTAACCAAATTTGGACAACCCGAAGCAAGAGCTTCGATCCCAACATTAGAAATAGGACATGCTTTAATGCAAAGCTTCTTGAGTGCCACACACTTCGCAGAAATACACTCAATCTCTGCATCACCAATTGTGCCAATCCCACAAAGAGCAAACCTTTCCAAATCTCTGCAATTGGAAGCTATGGCCGTTAAGCTCAGAGAAGTAGGAGATAAGCCAATCAACACAAGTTCCTGTAAATGAATGCAGTGCTTCGCTACAGCAATCAAACCATCATCACCAATCATATTGGTCCTCCAGCCATGAATGTGAAGCTTTCTCAATAGTTTGCACCGCTCAGCTACAACAGAAAGCCCCACATTTGAACACTCAGTTTTAACAATGTGCAGAGTCTCCAAGCTCAAACAATTGGATATCCCCGAAAGACCCACATCACTAACCTGAATCTTCTCGAGATGGACCTCAATTAAACCAGCATTGAACTTTCCAATATTTTCAAGAATATTATCCCAATCTCCCATACAACGAATTACCTTCAAAGTTCGAAGACCTTTTGAACCAATTACGAGTGGTGCAAAGCTTTGGCTATTAACAAGCTCCTTCAGGCATATAGATTTCAAAGACGAAGCTGCCGAAACAGGATCAATCATCTCCGTACCGTCATGTGTTCCTCGGAGCCGCTTGACAGAGAGCTCCTCCAGGAGCGTGCAATTACTGACGACAGCGTTTAAGCCCTTGACGCCGAACATACACGACCCAAGAGACAGCTTCTTCAAAGCCTTGCAGTTCTTAGCAAGAGCGGCCATTCCAACTTCGGTGACCTCACGGCAACCACGGAGCTTGAGGCGAGTAAGATTCTCGCATCGAAGAGAAATCAGGATCAAGGCGTCATCATTTATGCTGTTCGACTTGCGTTCACATCGCAGGGCGAGCTTGGTGACAGAGTCAAATCGGTTAAACAGGGAAGGAACAAAATCCAACAACGCCGCTTGAGCAATCAGGGAAAGTCGATGCCGGCTTTGACCATCGACGCGCATCCAGCGTTTACACACAAGGGAACAACATCTTCGATCGACAGAGCCAAGCAATTGAAAAATACCAGCCAAGCAATCGTCAGGGAGATAGGCTGTATAGTCAAAACCACCGGTAGAATCATCCATAAAATCCGCATCTGTATTACACTCCAGAGGCAAATCTGCGACCGAATATTGATAGCTATAGCGATTACTAGAAGAGATCTCCGGACGATTGAAGTCCGCAGAAGGCAGGGGGGTGGACGTGGACTGTCCCATGAGGGAGACGGTGGAGAAAGGAGGGAGAGATGGGGAATCAAAGAAAGAGAATGAAAGTAGAGACTAGAGCGCGGGGAATGGAGGTAGAGAGGGAAAACACATGGATATATACGTGATATAGCCCGTCAAATGGTTAAAGTGCGTGTTCGTTCCATCGTCGCTATCGGCGAGGCCGATATTGCCGTGTGGCTTCACGCACTCTGGTCAGGGAAGCCCTAGGGGGCTTGCGTGTCACGTCGGGCACATCATTCCTCGCGACCTTTCAATATTATTATTATTATGATTATTTTTTTGGCCAGAGACCGTTCAATGTTATTGATCGTTGACCCAAACTAACACTCCAGTTTTTCGATTTTAGATCGCCTTATACATCAATCTTTATATGATAATTTAAATATCAAGATCTTTAAATTTCTGTCCCAATGGGTATAGGAATTTTTTATATTCTGACATAACTTAATTTATTATATTTTGCATAAATTTTTTGGTGTCCTTTTATTAAAAAAAACAAGAAGATTCATGCCAAGGAACCTAAACAAAAAATACATGCACCGTTTTTTAATTTCTTCCCATTGCCAACAATTAAATATATCTCAAGGAGGAAATAAATATATTTCTTTTTCGAACATTTTATATTATTTCTTATTCAATAATATGATGTTTTATCCTTTTCTTTATGTTTTATTCTCAGTATAAAAAATAAAAAAAATCAGAATATTTTTTTAGCATTTAATCATTTTTGTTTTATTACTTTTTTTAAAATAACGTCCTAAAAAGGCTTCTTATTGTCAGCAAAACTACATTTTGCGTGTAATTTAGAGGGCCCGTGTTTGTGTTGGTTCTTGAATTTTGATGAATCACGGGTTTAGCCGAGAACTATGAACGAAATGGCAAAGAAGGCTCAACTTTTGACTGGGACTTGGCTTCGTGTTTCTTTTCTTTTCTTTTTTAAATTATTTTTTATTTCCTTTTATTTTTCCAGACTTTGACAATAAGTACTATTATATTTTTTAAAAAAAAATTATATTAACAAAAATATATTTTTAAAAAAAATTAAAAGTACTCACAAGGTAACCAACAGAATTAGGTTTAGTAGGAATGATTGATGATTGATTCCTAAGTCCTAACACTATGGTGAAATTAAGATTTAAATTTTTGTTAGAAAATGTATTCATATTTGAATATAATTGTTTTTAATACAAAAATATTTATGTGCAATTAAAACAGAGACTGTGATAAGACTGGAAAGAAGAAAAGAGCACAAAGTGTTAGTTTAATTTCATACTTCATTTTATTCAGTTTTAATTTCTTATTTACCATTGCCCAACTCCTGCACACGGTAAAAGCCTCTATTTGCTATGGAGAAAGGTATTTTAATGAAATAAAAATAGAAATACAATGAAGGAAATGTAAAAAGAAGAATTTCACCCAAAAAAATGTAAAAAGAAGAAGTATTCAATATGCATGTATAGAAAGTGAATATAGATAAACAATATTTGAAAGACTGAGATGCCCCTTATACACTAGATACGGTGAGGAACCCTATTCTTGATAATTGGGGGTAATTTTGAAATCTAACACTGATTTTTATGAAGCAGAGTAGCATTTACTTGATGAAACAATGGAAAAGTTTTGTTTCCTTTCTTCAAAAAAGAAGTCAACCAAGTTGTTATTGGAATCTATAACTGATTCCATTTTCATTAATCATGTTTCCATCCATTCAACCAAATGCACCTGATTGCCGATTTGTCATTATGTTGTTCATGAGCTTCGGCTGTGGCTATTTATTGTGTATTACTCTTTCTATTTTAAATTATAAGACATTTTTAGATAAAATTTTACATAACAATAAAACTTATTAAATATATTTTACAATTTTATTTTTTTAAGATAAAAATATAAACTTTCAAAAATGTCATTCATTTAATACTCCATTGATAAAAGAATATTGAAGAGAGAGAATTTATGAGAATGGTCATACTGAAAAAAGTATCATTAATAAAATCTTATTTTTATCAAAGTGTTTTATATGTTAAGACGCTGAATCTTCTTTAAAAATACCTTATAATTTGGGATGAGGGAATATTTTATTCTGATGAAAAGATTTTAATTTTGCCTTTTTTTTCCCTTTGCATTTCATGTCACCTTTATTATCTTAATCAGTCTTAGCTCTTAAGTATCAATTATTCCATATCCTTTTGCATACAAGATTACTGATACAACCAGGAAAGGGCAACAATGTGGTTACGCTCTATGATCACCAGGAAATAAGCCAATCTGAGGAACAAGTACGAGTTGTTTTCCTGTCTAGTTGGCTTGTTTTCGGCGAGGGGGTTACTGATAGAAATGTGGAAGCCTTTAATCTACACCCGGGTGGTAGAGACGATCCCACAATCGATTTAACATGAAAATATTACTTTGGAATTGCCAGGGTTTCGGAGTTTCCTTGGCAATCAAAAATCTCAAGGTTGAGTGTCTTAAGATTGATCCCCAAATTGTTTTCCTCATGAAAACAAAGCAAAAAGACGTCGTGAGTAAGGTGAAGAGGAAGTCTGGGTATGATGAGGAGTGAGCTGTTGATCCTGTGGGTAGAAGCGGTGGTCTTGCTGTTTGGAGGAGGAATGATACTATTGTTAATATTTTATCATCCTCTCAGAATATTATACACACTCTGGTTTCATCTGCCTCATTTGATACTCCTTGGTATGTCTCTTTCATTTATGGGCCTCCAGATGAGCCTCCAGATGAAAAGGAGAGGCATCAGATTTGGAATTTGGTGGTGGGCTTAGCGTCGGGCATTTAAGGGGCATGGCTTCGTTTGATAGATTTTAATGATATTGTTTCACATTGTGAGAAGGAAGGTGGTAGATCTAGAGCAGTAAGGAAAATGTTGAATTTTCAAAAATTTATTGCTAATTGTTCTCTGATGGATCTTGGTTACAATAGTTCTTGGTTCACATGGTGTAATGGTAGACAAGAGGACGCTACTGTCAAGAAGTGTATTGATCATGCTTTTGGCAATGTGGAGCTTTGTGAAGCATTTTCGAAGACTCAAGTCTTTAATATTAATCCTATGGGATTGGACCACCATTTTCTTCTAGTAGATTTATGCCACAATGGGGTAAAATCCTCTGGATCCATTAAATTTAAAAATTTCTAAGCCTCTCATCAAGAGTTTTTGCAAGTAGTCCATAATAGTTAGGTAAGACCTTAGAGCCATTCTATGAATTGTGTTTTGGATTTGTTTGTAGATAATTTGAAATTTTGTCATCAGAGTCTCATTAAATGGAGTGCCCAAACCTCTCCTAATAGTAAGAAACGTATTGGTCAACTAAGATTGTAGTTGGCTAGCTATAAATAGGGAGAAAATGTAACATCATGAATTAATTAAGTTAATAAAGGTAATTAAGTAATTTTAAGTGAAACTAGGATAGTAGATGATTAGAGAGAGATAATAAACCTATTGGGTTGTAGTTACAGCCTTCAAATCGGGTTTAAAACAAAATTTAGCCACATGGGCCTTGAAATGTAAAGGAAACCAAAGCCTCTCCTCTATATAAAATCTATCATGGTAGGCCACATGTATCACGGTGTATGGTCAAAAATATAACTTAAGTGGACATTTGACAAATTGAAAAACAAAAAAGATTTAGAGAGAATCGCATGGCACATGCTACACTCTGCTAGGGCACAAATTTGCTAGAGTTTTGGGAGGATTTAGGGGTTCCAATCATCAAGGTAAGTCTTCTCTATCTTTTGTCTTCCTCTCTATACCATTTTTAAGTTAAGCTTTTGTAGTTGATAGATGATTTTTGGACCTTGAGAGCTTTGGATTTGAACTCGTTGACTTAATTAGAGTTAATGAAAGTTGTTTAAATTATTTAAACTTAGATTTAATGATTTTGAGCATTCTTGAGTTTGGTCTCGTAAATATGTAGGAAAATAGCATTAAATATGGTGGTTAGAAGTTGTTGGAAGTTATTAATGGTGATTAATGAGTTTATGGATATTAGTTAGAGGTAATGAGAATTAATAAACCAAATAGTTGTGATTAAGCTCGAGAGTTGGAAGTTTTTGGTGTTTAAAGTGTTGGGTTTGAGAGTTGGAATAATATTTACAATGGTATTATTGTTACTTGGCACTATTAATTGTAAATTAATTGTGTTGGGCACCATTCAAGCTTGATAAAAGCTTTAAAAGTGAATTAATATTAAGGGATAAATATTTAACCTTTTAAAGGTATAGAGTAATGGGAAAAAAATTAGTTTATGCATTTATTTAGTAGTTGATTATAGAGTTTTGTAAATGTGCTTTGTATTTTGTGACATTGAGTTTACATTTATTATAATAAAGCAAATGTCTTTTTTTAAAAAAAAAAAGAATAAGTGCAAGTGTGGGTTTTGAAATTGATGATTAATGTGCTGGTATATGGTTATGTGATAAGGCAAAGATTTTGTGGCATGAATTAATGTGCTAAAATATATGAGATGATGATTGATTTATTATGGCATATTGAATGCTAGTTGCTATTTGAGCGCAATGATATGACTGTAATATGCTATATGTGTTAACATAATGCATTACAAGATCATATTGACGGGATTTTGCCTTAAGGAGAGAAGTAATATAAATCCACATGATATGACTGCCTTCCAATAATCAAAAGCCAACCTCTGTCTCACTGTTTGTCAAGAAACTTAAACTTAACTTGTCTTCACTTATTTTCCTAGAAGACTAGCTTAGGGGTTAACAACACTTTAGGGATTTAGGAATAAGGAAAACCGTGGCTTGAGAGTGAGTGTAATGCCATTTAACTAGGTTGCTCCTCACAATCGATGAGTTTGGATACTTCATTCACACAGACGGAGCCCTATTTGATTTAATAGTTCATGGTTTTAGTCAAAGGTATCAAGAGGTTATAAGGAAAGTATTAGTCATGCATATAATTATTATTTGTCACATGATTGCTAAATTTGTGATAGTAAAAACTTGTGTTGGTTTAAGATAGCTTGAGTTATGATTTAATATAATTGTGATGTAATACATGTTTTGTACACACTTTGCATGTTTTATAATCAATTGGCTTGCATTTGCATAAATTAAATATACATTGATTATTGAATGATTATGCTTACTTCTTTACTTAACATTTTACAGGCATTAGCTTGGGTTAGGATAGAGAAAAAGCACCAAAGACTTACGACTCTTATTCCTAGTT